TTTCTGGTTGTCGCGTTGGTTGAATTGCATTTTCTCAGAGATCTCCAGACGAAATTCCTTGGGTAACCGTTCCTTTGAAAGATTCTGTATAGGCGTTTCTCTTCTTTTACTTTAGATTCTACTGTGTTGCAGTGTGTTTCAATTCGCTTGAATAGTGTCCGGATGCAGCTCTCTTTGTGGCAGTTTGGGTGGTTGCTGTGGTAGCTCAGAATTTGATCCGTGTGCGTAGCTTTTCTGTAGACTTCCGTTTGCATTTGTCCGTTCGGCAACCTTGTGACGAGGACATCTAAAACCGCCAGTTTGTTGTTGTTTTCTTCTTCCATCGTGAACTTGATGTCATCGGAGACACTGTTTATCAATTGGATTGCTCGTTGTAGTTCTCTCTTCTTGATGATGACAAAAGTGTCGTCTACATAACGTACCCAAAGCTTCGGGTTGATGTCCGGCAACACGGTCCTCTCCAGTTTTTGCATTGCGATCTCGGCGATGAACCCTGAAATTGGGGAACCCATTGGTGCTCCTTTCAATTGTTCGTAGTATTCACCGTTGAATTCGAAGTACGTGGTCAAACAGAGGCTGAGCAATTCACATATGTCTTCCTTCCTTAGAGGTCCACTGGGAGGTCCATGACTGTCCAGTAGTTCAGCGACTGTTGTCTTTGCCGAGTGAAGGTCCACTGATGTGAACAGTGAGAAGCTGAGAAGCACCGGGGTTCTCATCTTGTGTTGTTAATAATGATGATGATATATCCCGTGGTTTTCAATTGGGTTGATATATGGATAACTTCTTGACTACTCGAATCACCCCACTGGCCATAACGTAGCTCTCCGTCAGGTGTGTGGTGTAAGCAGTTGATTCACATGCTAAAACGTGTTATCAGCCTGTCTATTCCTGGAAATGGCTGATACTATGACGCCGCATGTCTCAGAGTCTCGGTTGCCACTCGGCAATGCTAATTCGCTCACTTAGGTAGACTAAACAGCGCACGCCAACTTCATCCGAGTGGAACCACGCTTTTCTGTACGAATATCAAGAGAAAAATGTGGACGTATTTGATAATGTTCTATTCCTGTTTCCTCCAAATCCTCTGGGTAGTTTCGTTGCTATGGTTTTTCATTGAGCGTACCGAGTTGTGCCGCCTGGAGTGGGAAACTAGGTTGTTGTTCCCGTCCATCTGTGAAGCAAAACGCGCATAGTAACAACACCAAATGACCTCGCCACGGACACATTTGTTCATTGTTATGGGATCTGAGCGAAGATTTCGGTGCATACCAAACATTTTCATCGACCTTGACCCCATACTGTTATTGATAAGACAGTAGTAGTAGTGAATTTATGGCAGTTGGCTCCATCAATAGAACAAAACAGCGAGTGAATGTGCGATCACTGTGCCAGAAATGGCGATAAGGTGGGCGAAGCAGACCGATGCTAAGAATGTTTGTACTTTAAGCCAGTTGATTCTAAAATCCAACCTGGGGACATCCTGGTGTACACTTTGCAGAACATTAGCTTAGAATTCGTTTTTGTATGAAGGTCGTGTGCACCTAGTACACTCTGTCCTGTGTTTCTATTCTGTTGGGCAACTCATAAGTTTGTATTATGCCCGAGTATAATGATAGCAACAGTGGTTCAGCTATAGCACCCTTTCCTTGCATTTACTACTTTAAATTGTAGTAGCCCTGGTCCCCGGATTCTCCTGTTGGTCGAATGTCACATTTACTGTTTCACGCAAACTGTGTTTTAATTGTCCCCCATCACCATTCCTGATCACGATTGTATCTGAGAACTGATTTACCATAAGTTGAAGGTTGAATTCTGAAGTGGATTAACGGTGTGTACATAGGATGCGTGAAAAAGACACATCAGGGGTTGGACGCGGACAGGAGATATCGTAAAGCATAGAACTACCAGACTACATTTTTATTCGTATATGAAGGCAGTATAAGGGACTGTCATATGCTATTTCTGAATCATGGGTGGACGTGTTCAACAGAGGTCTGGTATCTCTTCACATTCCCTGACGCTACTGGGTTATAGTCAGAAGACAAGAATGCGACCAGAGGGAACTGTCTATTAACGCAATTACAAACTTCTATGTATATGATTCACTTGTGACCGTATTTGATGGTCGACCCACTGCCAACCAACCAGTGTGTCTCCTACACGCCCACACCGGTTCTCGGTGGTTGTCCCTTTGTCTCGGTTGATCATAGATGGCTATCTGTGCGCTTGTGTACGGGCTGCCTTGGTCATGGAGTGAGCGTGAACTTTCTGTGTCCCATATTGACCTTTCTCCGGCACATGGTGAAATCGGACGTGATTCAGACGTGTGGGTGTAATCGCACGACCCTGTTTGACATGATTGTTCCGCTGCACAGTAGGCTGTGCGCAACCGTATGTCAACCTTGATCGATTCTTAGAATTATATGTTTGGTGCCCTGTGTCCTGATTAGTTTCAAAAAAGTAAGGAAGTCGAAAACCAAGTGCATTTTCATCGTCCATGATTGCAACAGCCCCTGGTTTTGTAGGCCAAAACTCACTTTCCCCAATCTTCACCAATTTCTCTTCTTCGTCCTTCACGGAAGACGCAGTTTCCCGGTGATGTCGCTTGAAATGGTCCAAGTGGACTAAACTGATTCGGAGTCACTGATTTCATACTGTGGGAGCGATACAATCGCCATCCACCCCGCTTCGGCCACCGGTACTCCTCATTCAAGCTAGCGTTCTACGTAGTACTCAATGATCAGTGTACAGTCGCTTCGTATGTGCACCTAGTACCATGTTCTGTCTGTCTAATTCTCTGACTGCATCATATTCCTCCTATTACTTTCGAATTCCCACAAAGCACCTGCTTTATTCGATATGCCACCAATCCATATGACTTTACACCACGGTGTTGCAACCCGAATCTGTCCCAGCTAATGGCCGGAGCTAAATATATGGTGATAATTTTTATTGCTGACTTTATTCTTCTGGCATGTAGGGCATTGTAAGTCCAGTTGTGGGCATCTAAAGCCCTACAAACCAAGGTGGAAACAACAAGGAGCTGTGTCGACTGATTTGAAGAACTGAATATAGTAATCGTTCTGTGGCAATCAGGGACAGTGTTATACACGGGGCAAATGAACTTGCGGTTCAGAGAAGCGGTATTTTCAGTGTGCTGTCTCAACTTTGTTATACTTTTATATTTTTGTAATGCACTACTCATAAGGTTGTTGAAAACTCCTCGACAGCCCACGACCGGTTTCGCCCTTCTTGGAGCTCATCAGGTAGGCGCAGTCCCCGGGTTTCCGTCAACCTTATGTTCTACTTGAAATCAAATTGCGCGAAATCAGCGAATATACACTCATTTGCAAACTAATTTGGCTTTTCGAGAGTCTCACCTGAAACCCAGCTGAATCTCTCGGTTTTGATGTTTCCAGCTGTCGTCAAATCTACTGTCACAGGAATCCACCGTGTTTTTTGCTAACTTGGTGGCCTCAGCATTTCACTTCTTAGACTTTCCGAACTCCAATATCCTAGCAAAGACAACTATTTCAGAAATCTGGACGCTAAAAATCCCATCGATCATACGCTTGACCTGTGGCTCACTCCAGACCATTGAGCCTTCTTTTCGTTCGCTCCCCTGACATTCCTATGGTTAAGTTACGCCATCGTTAAGGATACCGAATAGAGCAGATGACAATGTCACGAAAAAGTTGACATTGCTGGGGAAATAAGCATGGTTTGTAGAGGTGTTAGAATGTTTATTTGTTTTAGTCGTAGCAGGTGAATTTTTTTTCGATGTTTTGATTTTGTGGACTAAAACTTGTGTGGGTGATGTATCTGTTAGTCGGCACGGGCCAGTGTGGGCGAGCCTTCCATCAGCCAGTAGCACCTAGTGTGTAACTTTCAGCCACTAGCTCTATCAGGAAGATCAGCTTCCTAAAAGCAGCCACTGAATGCCCGAAATCTACCGAGACTCTCAGCTCCGCCAGATGTTAGCCAGACAGACAAAACCCCCTCAATATGCAGCGCGTCACAGCCTTGTATCAAACCCAGACAGCTAGCGTCAGTGCTGATCAAGGTCAGACAACGCCCCCTCAATACGCAGCACGTCACAGCCTCGTACCAAAGCCAGACCGTGTGCACCAGCATTGGACTAAGTTCAGACAGTGTCCTTCCAATAAATAGCTTGAAACCGTAGTACTTTTCGCACTCGCTTGTTTGGAATATAGCTGTTGTGTTCCCTTCTGTGAGTCTTTTTTCCGGCACTAGGCGCTGGAACGGGTCGGCAGCAGATATCACAGATTGACGAATCAGCAGATATAACAAGCTCTCAGGTCAAGTGTCTGGAATTGAGGTACCCTTCTGAGAATATGAACCAACATGAGTCCATCGGGATTTCGTCCTATAGGTGAAGTCAATGTATGCCGAAACCTCGAGAAGTACTGTACGGCCGCTTCACCCCTACAGTAATCACCAGTAATGTGTGCCTAACGAATCCGCACTCAATGTCTTAGCAGCCCTAAGGTGTCATGCGTTGGTCGAATTCTCCGGTACCAATCATCTGTGTCAGCGTTCAGTGTATCTAAATAGCCCAACCATTTGCAAAATGCGAGTCGTTTGCCCAGGAAACAGAGCGTTCGTTTCAGCTATCACTTATGATACCAAGTAGCAAGACCACACAACATAATTTCTCTGTTGTTGAAACCGCGTATCCTTTCCATGTGCGAGTTAATCATGGTACGGTCGTCCGCTCCTGGCCACGGGTTGAGTTGAACTGTATGAAAATTTATTGGTTCGGAGGCGATGTACGCAATGAGGGAATCCCAACAAGGTGTTAGCCAATTGTTCATTTAGGTCAGAGTGAGTTGGCAGGATGAGATTCGAACTCCTCTAACTTGCCTTATCTAAGTAGTCAGAATTGTCTTAGCGCACTACCTCGAAATCACAATCCCACCGAAACTGAATATGGTTATTTGTGTCTCCTCCTTTACTTAATTCACCTTGCCTCACAGGTCGAGGTCAGCAACCCGGATGAAATCGACGAGATATTTGACACCATCTCCTACAGCAAAGGGTCCAGTCTTATACACATGCTCCATGCCTATCTTGGGGACGAAGCTTTCCGTGCTGGACTCTGTTCCTATTTGGCGAATCATGCCTACGCAAACGCGACAACCGAGGACCTGTGGAATGCCCTGGGGTCCGCTTCCGGCCTTCCGGTTGCTTCGATTATGCGACCTTGGACACAAAAAGCCGGTTTTCCGGTAGTTTCGGTTGAACCTTTTGAAGTACAAGACAAACACATCCGGGTGAAGTTGGAACAGCGTCAGTATCGACTGCCGTCAAACTCGCCGAACAGTAAGTTCCGTCTGTAGCTGCAGGTGAACTCGCTCAGGATTAGAGGTTGTTTCGGTTTTATACAACTTCTCTTTGTTTGCAGTCGCAGTCACTTGTTTCTCTGTTGGACAACTTTGGTTTCAATTCAGTACGTGTAGTTTTTAGGAGAAATAAGTTCACTGCACATACCACTCCACTGTGTGCGGATTTTGGAGTACCTATCCACACGCTCCTTGGACTTCTACAGTTCACGAAACCTCAAAACCCCGACTAGCCTGAATGGTTTGAAGCTTTGGAACTGTTCTTACATGGTCCATGTTTTCAGTCGTTTTAACGGATTAGTATTGACTATTTCTCTCCTACTTTCTGTTTCAGTTTGCTTTCCAGCTAGTCACATTTGCTTGCTTCACAGTTGAACGCGTTCCAAATCTGTTCATTGTGATCTGCTTAACTTGCTGTCAGCACTGTTATCCGACTTTCGAACTAACATGCTGAAACAACCACCGCATATATCTAGCTTTGAAAGACCACCGTGAAGTTTTGGAAAGTATATGTAGTACCTGGGTGGAACGGTTCCAAATGACGTTCTTGGGTGTTAACTTTGGTGTTTGTCCGAATTCCTAGGCACACCTGTTCATCTCTCTCCGTTTTATCAACTGCTTAGTTGGTTTTAATTCCATAAGTCATAAAACTTGGAACCTCGTGTCCCTAGTAATGATAATAATACAAATCGTTCATATCTAACACCCCCCGGTACCTAACTACGGTGCCACCCGAAGAAAGCACCTGGGCTGAGACACCGCTAGATTGTCTAGGTTAGGTCTGGACTAGTCGAGATTCAGAGGGTAGGTTCGAACAATGACCCTTCCAAGAAGTAATTTCTCGCCTTAACCACTAAACTATCTCGAGTTCCCGATGTATTCACCCACGCTATTGGGTTTCCTCGAAGATTAATGCCTACAAACAACACGTCATGATTATTCACCTTCAAAATTCCGGGCGAAACCCAGTGGGTACCGCTAAAGATTACCGAACCTCTGTTTGTTCTGGACTCCTTGACTTCTTCCTTCGCAAGGACAAAGTTTAGTAACAATGCAACAAACTAGTCTATATTTGTGAGGTAGTTTTTAGGGCGTCAGCTCGCAAGTCTATCTTGTGCTGAGATTCCACTTTTGGTGGATAATTTAAGTAAATAGAGGGTTCCATGCTGCATTCCGACATACGTTAACCTATTGGCCTATGCGTTCTTTTGACCAATTTGGTGTTCCTTGGTGGCAGCTTTACTCACGTGCAACGTGTTGTTTGTTGTCCAAACTGCATTTGTCGAGACATTTCACACAGTAAACGATTCTCTAGACCCACGATTGTAATGGTAATCAACTACGTTCTCTTACGTATGCGTTTATACAGCTTCTAAACTGCGCATAGTAACTCTAATGTGACTGGTCGGTAGCCGCGTAACGTGATTGGTCAACTTGTGTCCAATTGCCTTGCACTTCTCAGCTCTTTCGACGCCTTGTTTTTTCATTGGTCCTTTTCGTCGTTGCTTGCGCTATGGTTTTCTACTTGATTGGCTGATTGACAACCTATGTTTATTAGTTCTCTTAGAGTAGATTGATTGTCGTTTGGTTTGGTTTTTCACGTTCCCCAGAGTCTGTACAGTTCTTTTATTCTCGAGGGTACTAGACTGGTTTGATGTCGGCATATTGGTTGGCTGATTTCTGTGTAGACAAACTCCTGCTCGTTTTTTCTGGCATGGGCAAGTACACAATAGACTAATGTGCCTTCCTCTTCTAAATTAAGACAATACATTGTATCGTGTATTTTTGATGTCAAGATTGTATTCATGTATTCCAGCTATCCGTTTTTTAGTCTGACCAAAATTGTGCTTGTCGCAGTCATTACACTGAAGTATTCAGGTGACTTTTGTTCTTTTTATTGTACCTGTTTTTCCCTTCGTTCTCGAGAGTGTCTCCGGATGTGAGGGTAACTGTTATTCCCAGTACTCTTAGATCTTTTCCAGTCGGTTCGGTAAAGTTTTTGGTACCCATATGAGTATTCCTTCTGCTTTCTAGTTTTGTTGATAAAATAGCCTGGCTCTGATTCCACAAGGGTCTTCGATTACCTTTGGTAGCCATCGCTTTGGAGCATGTGGTGAAGTCGTCCTTCTTATGTCTTCCTCGAGCATGTTCTACAGGACACCTCGACCCTTCTGAACAGCGCTCGAACACGACTCCATCTTTGACAATTTGTGTGGCTGTTGAAGTGGTCCAGTGTCTTGTTGGGAGGTTCTCCCCAGTACTTGTTTACTTCTTCGTATTTTGAAGAGCACTGAGAACCTAGTTTGTTGAAACCAACTGTGTTTATTTGGCTATTTGGAGCCTCCATAATAACACGATGAAAGTAACACTGAACAGCCACAAGACGCAGACCTGAATTAGCGGCCCCGAAACTTCTCATACCCTAGGTTCGAACTACCATCGTTGCACCCTCGGCCGTACGTGGAACCACCTACGGCCTCGGAGGTTTACGACTGCATATGTTCTCTCAAGCGCCACCGAGCTCTCGGCTCGGATGACCTTCCACCCGCACTGTTCAAAGACGGTGGTGAAGTCCTCAGTCAGTGCTTGTCCGATCTGTTTGCTTGCATTTGGGAAAATGAGTCTGTCCGAGACAACTGGGGTGAATCGGTGATAATGCCCGTTTTCAATAAAGGGGCGCGTAGTGACTGTGGTAACCACAGGGGGATCAGCTTGACCCCGGTTGTAACGAGACTGTTGGCGTCAATTGTGCTTCGTCGCCTTACGGTG